TCTGCTTGCACCTCTCTCTGAAAAGATTTCAAAAGAGAAAAAAGCAAAGCAAACCACTTTAAACTAAACAAAACAAAACAAAAAGAATTGAGTTCCAGCAAGCAATGCTGGCTGGGCATCCGTCTTGCATTCCATAGGGATCCGTGTTTGAGAAAGACATCTTCTTTTGCTTTCCCCCCTCTCCTCTCTTTTCCCTTTTACTGACGTTAAAATCTAATTTGAAACAAAAAGAATTTAAAATCTTGATCATTATCCAATCCAGTAGTCAATACTTTGTACCAAATTAATGAGCATTCAAAGTTTCCAAATCCTGACTTAAATCCAAACAATTCCAAGTCACACATCAAATAATATCAGCTCTTGAGGACCAAAGACTTAACCAAATTAAGATCATTCTGTGCAGAAAAACCGCTGTGTAGTCGGCAGGAGCAATAATTATACTAATAATAAGTTGTAAATTGCTACTGGTAAATCTTTTTCTTTTCTCTATCAGTTCATTGAATTTAAAGTATTTAATTAGCCAGAGCATTTGGTGTGGCATAATTAACTCGGTATGATGCAACAATCAATTGGCATTTTTTGTTTCTCAGTGCATCTAGATATCAGACACATGCATGGCTACTATTCTTTCAGTGCTTGCTGGTTAGACGAATAGTTTTTCGAGTTTTTTTTCCCCTTATATTTACCATTTTCAATTCAGAAAAGCTCTCTGAATGGTAATATTCATGAAATTTTTTAATATATATATATATATATATATTCCAGAATGGATTGCTAGAGAAAAATTCAATGAAACTTTTTTTACTGAAAAGTATTTTCTAGTTAAACAAATTGTTACTATTTGAAATTCCAATGAAAGATTCAAATATCTGATTAAAACATTATAGTTTTGAATAGAAAGACATCATTGGCAAAAATCATATTCGATAAATTCTTATAAAAGTCATATCAAAATCTATCACTGCAGCAAAGAAAAAGCTCAGTGAAAATATTGACGATTCAATATTGCAATTGATCTTTCATGATGAATTTTATTGATAAAGAATTTATTTTAAAAACTGATTGCAAAAGATGACTCCCATTAATAAATTACAAAATTATCAGACAACATGGCCTACAGATAGACGGAAAAGTTTGAACAACTTCAAGTATTAAACAGCCTCTTACATCCATGGCCAATTTGTTTTCTCATCAGGCCCATGCAGTTAAAAATGAAATTTTAATAGATTTTAATAAAAATTGATGAAATGTAATAAAAAAATTGTTGATTTTCATAAAATATATAATTAAAATTAATTATTTAATTTGATTTAAAATTTTAACAACGTTTTAAATCACACAAACAAGGGCCAAATGCCTTTCTGCATGCACAACTTTAAAGAATAGTTAAATGTTGCAAGATGTAATAATTTTTTATATTCTTATTACGTGTTCGATGTAGAAAGTGTTGGGTATATTGACCCAAAAAGCACAGACGATCGTAAAATAGCAAAAGACGGTGCAAGAAAAAAAATCAAATAATGGATTGTTCACCTAGTTAGACCAAACACGATCTAATATGGGGGATCAAAGGTAAGTCCATCACTATGCAAAAAACTTTCAAGAGAGAGTGTACAACCAAAATGAGTAAACCAAATTAGGCACACATATGGTCATCGATCCACAAGAATCTCGCAACAATAGAAACCCTAGCCTACAACGACTAGACAGATCATTGCAAAGAACTCAGTACAGATTTACCAGCCACGAATTAGGCCTAATACACTGCACTGCATGTTCTACCATCATCATATAACATACTCTAATTACAAAATTCACTATCAATCAACAGATTGAAATAGTAGAAGAAGAACAGACGACTGTAGAAGAGAGAGAAACTCAAGAGACTCAAAACCAAGAACGATTGAATGAATTAGAAGAGTCTCGAAGAAGTCTCTAAAACCAACAATATTGAAAGACCAAATCTCAGTCGTTAGATAGGATCAACGGTCCACAATAGTCCAAAACAAGTACAACTCGTGTGACTAAGCATCAACCAATGTATGAATGCCAACTGTCCAGACAGTGCAAATGGCATAAAATGTATTTCCACTAATAAAGTGTGGTTTGAGAAACACAACTTCACGTAAAAGTATAGGTAAAATTATTTTTTATAAAAACAAAAATGATCTTAACCCATATTTTATGGGATTCATCAACTTCCATCAATTTCATTTGTTAAAAATCTAGATCAAATAGGTTCTAAATATTGCCCAGTTTTTTTAGTTAAAAATCATATTTTTCATGAATTTTAATAAAAAATGATGGAATAATTGATTGACAATTTATGAATCTCATTAAGCCCCTGTTTGAACCCCATTATTTCTCATCACATTAAATTAAATTTTTCTCTCTCCTACTTTTAACCACACAATTTTCAATAAAACAATATTACACACGTAAATTAAAAACTTTTCAACCACTCATTTTTAAAAAAAAATACTTATAATCTACAAATAATGAGGCTCAAATGGGGGCTAAATATATAATACATATTTCATTTTTGGACATATAATTTCTTAAAGTCCCTAGTAAACAGCACAAAAGTTTAGCTAAAATATCACGGGCAGAAGACAAACTGTCCTGTGGTCATTTCAACATATATGTAGCCCTGTGTACTGGACCTACTAATATAAAGTTGAACTTAGCAACTGGGCTACTCTTAGATACTGCAGAATTTGTGGACAAGATAATACGATGCCGTCTGGATGCTGCCTGTCTCACTGGACAAAGTTCTTCTTACAAAAAGTGTATACATTTCTGTAAATGGATGTGTTAACAAAGGGAGTTTGACTGAAGTGCTTTTTCGAAAGTATTAGGGTAAGGACAAGCACCGTACCGCTTAAAGATGTTGAACCAATTCTCGAATGGGACACTACATATTTGGTTAATGAGCTTCTTCTAACTTCAGATGCTTTGGAGTTAATATGTTCATGGATAGGATTTCCTATGTTATACTATTCAAGCCTCGAAGATAATTTGATTGGATAGCTCAAATATTGTAAGCTATGATAACTGAGTAATAACGACTCGAATCTCTATCTGTATTTCATTTTATGAAAAATGAAAGAATTGATTCCACATTGAAGAAAGAATGAAATATTCATTGATCGAATCCTTCACTCTAGTTATAGTATTGAACATGGCTAGATAATGTAACTGACGAGATATTAACTCTCTTTCTTCTTTTGTATCGTCCAATATACTTGAACGAGACATTTTACGTTAATCGAATTAACCATACATAAAAAAAATAAAAAAATAAAAAAATAAATTTACATACTAATACATTATGTGAAAAACCTAATAATACTATTTGGATTTCTTCTTATAAGGTACATAAATAAGTCATCTCGAACATATATGGCATAAGAATTAACCTGAAAGAAAGTTGGTGATGCGGTATAGACACGAGAGTGGAAACGATTTTAGTAGGAAAAGGGAGAAGAAGACGGTGAAAGACGTATACTAGGAATCCCTTTATGTTTATAGTGCTATTAATTAATGAGTAAATTCGTACCCCCATAACCAAGAGCCAATTGCAGTTTGGTCCAAAATAGAATAGCATAAGAGGGGAATGTTCTCTCTTTATTTCATTTTCACCTTCCTTTTGAGGGGGAATTAAGTAGATGAAAAGAGTTGGTGGGCTCCTCTTTGTTTCTTCTTTGTCTACTTTAATAGGCCTTTCGTTAATTGTCTAAAACCATCACGCTCTCCAAGATTGAAACACCATATTAGATTCGTATAACCTTGTGACAAATTTGATATATAATGTTGACAATATTGTACAGTATTAGCAATAGTGATGTCAAGACGTGTAAAGGTAACCTCAAAAGTGAAAGCTAACGAAAAACATTAAACCTAAAGAAAAATGCGAAAGTTATCTCAAAATTGGGTGGTATTGATATACAAAACTAGAGGTTATTAAAGTGGATATAAGCTTTGTAATGGACCTATATTCAGAAAAGCAAAAAGTGAAAAATTGTAGCCCCTGTATAAATACATATAAGGGGAAGTCGACTAGAGGTCACATGGATTTAATTCAAACATTATTAACGAAAATATAACCACTACACCACATAGCTAAATCTAGAATTTAACGTGCTTGTTATGGACATCGTCTTGTACATGGTACTAAATAGTATTAAAAAAAAAAAAAAAGTTAAAATCTTGGCTGTTATCCGTGCGCTTATAACAGGAGTGTTCCGGGAGTCGGACAAATTGTGATTTAAAATGTACGTGTGCATTTTTGTCTGTGAAGACAAATACAATAAAAACAAAAAACGTGATGAAATGCACTTTAATGAATGCCGGGGGAAGATTAGGTTTCCAAATGGGAAGACAACTAAATACAGCAATGGGCAAGAGGAGTCAACAGGAAAAGCAGATAGGATTATTCTTCATGTACAAAATGGTTTACAAAATTCACAAGTGGCGCCCCCTATTGGAGAGGCAGCACGACAGACATTTTGTACTTCTAACATGGTCTAATAGATAGCAATTTCACTGAGAATGACCAGAGAAGGCTGTATCATACTCGTCTATGTGTGAGAAACAAAAGGTTTTGGATTTTATTCCCTTTCTTAGTGAGA